CTTCCGCAGGGGGATGCTGACCGGAAGCGAGTGTAGGCTGGAGCCGCAGGAGGGAGGGAGAGAAGAAGGAGGGAGAAGACCGAGGGACTAGGGGAGGGGAAAGGGGAGGAGGGTAGAAGAGGGAGGGAAAAGGCGGACGCACGCTGATCATCTTCCCTGTGACGACAAAGCGAGGGCCTCAGGCCCTTGGGCGTGAAGCTACGTGGACGCATGCGCAGCCCTGAGCGCCGGGGCCTCGGCGCTTGCGCAATAGCGGCGTTTTAACTGGCCGACGCGGCGGTTTGCGCACGGCTGCTGGTGCTCAGGTGTCATGGCGACGGCCGGTTTAGTCTGCTGGCCCGGCACGCCAACCTTAGTCCCCCATCAGCCCTGGAGCTCCGGACGAAAAGATCCTTCTGGCGGCTTCGACGCCGGAGAGGTTTTTCTTTTTATCCTAAACAGAATCGAAGTATTTAAAAGGCCACGCCAAGGAGGTTTGAGGTGTTATGGCAATGTATGCTTGAGATCTAAAACCTTGACTTTCTTTAATTAATAAATGCACGAGTCGCCACTGAGGTGCAGATATAAGCTTTAAGAGAGATGTGTCACGTGCGGTCCTTTTGTCTTAAAAAAAAAACAGCAATGTGACTTGGTTAACCCTGTTTCCGTGCCTCTAATTTTTTTTCCCTACTAATGATCTGAACGTTGCTTTCCCCCCATTTTCAAAATGACCACAAGTCTCAAGAATGTGAACCAATCAAATACTTGTTTGGCAGAGATTAGAGGAATGTGCCTTCTAATAAAAACAACTTGGTTGAGGTTGAAGTTGCGCTCACATGATGTTTGTTCATTAGTCTGTACAGTCGTGGACCACATACTGACGTTGTGGTCAAGAACAGACTGGGGTACAGGATGGGGGTCATAAGGCTACACTGATCCTAGGTGTGTAGTAGGCTGTACTATAGGTTTGTGTAAGTACACTCTGATGTTGGCACACAAAACCACCTAATACCGTTCTAGTACCGCTGCATGATTGTGTTTTATTTTGGTCTGTGTAAGTCTACCTTGAACCCCAAGTTCAAAAACGACTACAGTTAATAGAGAAGGTATAGAGTCCTTTCATTTTGCTACCTCTGTTAATAAAAATACATGTCACAATATTGGATATGATGCAAGAGTATATGGCAAGTACTCCTCCCCATTTCTGCCTGTAGCATCACACCCACTAAATGTGACAGTTCCTTAATTGATACTATTCCAGTGTTCTGTATAAGTCAATTAGTCTACCTTCAGTTTGTTTTGTTCTAGTGATCTGAGTGATGATGATCTTTAGCTTTTTTTCCCATAAGAAAGATTAATTCCATATCTGTTTTTTATTAGAAATTCTATTTTAACTCAAATAAAGACTTACAGAAATTAAACCCTTCTTAAGTTTCTGTTTAAAACTTATATTTTCAGAAGAGGTCCAAATGGATGAAGTTACCTTACTGGGTCTCTTGGTAGCCCTCTTTTCACCTCTATGTCATTATCTCAGGGGACTCAGAATATTATGATTTCCTTGGTCATACATTGTTTATGATAGGCTTTACTGGGTAATTTTTCATCTAATCTGCTGAAGTGGAAATTTTAAAAAGAAAGTATTTAGCGTTTCTGGGGCAACAAAAGCAAATGATTGCTTTCACAACGGATTACTATTAGACATGCTAGGCATGAGTTTTTAAAGTGGTTGCAAGGAGTGCCTGTGTGTATGTGTGTTGGCAATACATTTAGATAACATTGTTGAAATGATTGTTCTCTTGTTGATTCATGGTAGAAGTGGCATTTATGAGGAATTTAAGTGACATTTATTAATGTTTACTATTAGATCAACATAGTATGCAATGAATGCATGAGCCCAAATGTAAAAGTAAATCCAAAATTATAGCAATAGAACAGATGCAAACTTAACATTGTGAAAAAAATTACATGTTCAGCTTTTAGAAGAGAATTTTTATACAATTTTTTTTTTAGTTCAAATACTGTTATACCACTGAACTAGGTAACTAGAAACATCTAAGAAAAAAAAATATGTAGTAGAACAACTGTTGTATAACTTAAGGAATGAGGAAGAGGAAATTGAAACTAGTCTTAGTTTGGCCAAAGTTCCACATAGATTTGCTGGTTGAACTCCTTTGATGTTTTGTGCTACTTTAGCTTTCTAGTTTCTAACAGTATTCGAACCACTACATTCACATCTGTAACTTAAAGATGTTAGGAAAGTTGAAGATGGCTGAGAAATATGCCCTGATTTTTACCACAAAGTTCTTAGTGACTAGTGATGCCTTAACTGTTTTCAGTGTCTGCATAGTATTTTTGCTTGTTTATTTTTGGAATAAAAAAAAATTTCTAACTATGGCAAACTAAAGAACTTTGATGAAACTAGGAAATATCATTTTTAATTGCCTCAGATTTTTTCTATTTATTCAGGAGCGCATGTGCGCAAACACATGAGAGTGAAAGAGGAGCGCACCCACCACAGAGTTTATTCACACAGTGATCCCCTTCCTCTATTCTTGCACATCAGATCTTGATGCATATGACCAGCATGTTTCAGGCTGACTAGACAGGATTTAAACTGATCAACATGTGAGATCCAGCTTCTCTTGAGCAGTGCATTACCACTGTACTACAGAGCTGCCTCTAGCTCACAAGATTTTTGAGTGATATAGAATTTGTATAATAAATTTGATCAGAAATTGATTCAAAATTATTTTGAAAAATTACTTTTTAAAATGG